GGACAGGTTCCACTCAGAACAGGCCTCGCCATGGTCGACCAAAGAGGTTGAGTGCACGTGCTCAGTGTCACATCCAGAGGTTGTCTTTGGGAAATAGACGTATGAGTGCTGCCAGCATTGCTGCAGAGGGTTGAAGGGGTGGGGGGTCAGCCTGTCAGTGCTCAGACCATACACCACACACTGCAACAAATTGGTCTGCATAGCTGTCGTCCCAGAAGGAAGTCTCTTCTAAAGATGATGCACAAGAAAGACCGCAAACAGTTTGCTGAAAACAAGCAGACTAAGGATATGGATTACTGGAACCATGTCCTGTGCTCTGATGACACCAAGATAAACTGATTTGGTTCAGATGGTGTCAAGCGTGTGTGGCGGCAACCAGGGGAGGAGTACAAAGACAAGTGTGTCTTTCCTACAGTCAAGCATGGTGGTGGGAGTGTCATGGTCTGGGGCTGCATGAGTGCTGCCGGCACTGGGGAGCTACAGTTCATTGAGGGAACCATGAATGCCAACATGTACTGTGACATACTGAAGCAGAGCATGATCCCCTCCCTTCGGAGACTGGGCCGCAGGGCAGTATTCCAACATGATAACGACCCCAAACACACCTCCAAGATGACCACTGCTTTGCTAAAGAAGCTGAGGGTAAAGGTGATGGACTGGCCAAGCATGTCTCCAGACCTAAACCCTATTGAGCATCTGTGGGGCATCCTCAATCGGAAGGTGGAGGAGCGCAAGGTCTCTAACATCCACCAGCTCCGTGATGTCGTCATGGGGGAGTGGAAGAAGACTCCAGTGGCAACCTGTGAAGCTCTGGTGAACTCCATGACCAAGAGGGTTAAGGCAGTGCTGGAAATAATGGTGGCCACACAAAATATTGACACTTTGGGCCCAATTTGGACATTTTCCCTTAGGGGTGTACTCACCTTTGTTGCCAGCGGTTTAGACATTAATGGCAGTGTGTTGAGTTATTTTGAGGGGACAGCAAATTTACATGTTATACAAGCTGTACACTGACTACGTCACATTGTAGCAAAGTGTCATTTCTTCAGTGTTGTCACAAGAATTTTATAGAATAAAATATTTACAAAAATGTGAGGGGTGCACTCACTTCTGAGAGATACTGTATACTGACATGGACTGGGTAATGTGTTAGGAACGTAAGGATGCCCCATTGTTTGATGGAAATAAAAATTATCAACCTACAGGGAACTGAATTCAAAGACACCCCGAAAATCAAAGGGAAAAAATGATGCAGCAGCATTTCCACCTAAATCTGGACAAGGGCATCACTGAGCTCCTGGACAGACTGAGGTGCAACCTGGACCGAAACATGACATCCCAGAGGTGTTCTGTTGGATTTAGGTCAGGCAAGCGTGGGGGCCATTCAATGGTATCAATTCCTTCATCCTCAAGGAACTGCTTGCATACTCTTGCCACATGAGGCCGGGCATTGTCGTGCACCAGGAGGAACCCAGGACCCCCTGCACCAGCGTAGGATCTGACAATGGGTCCAAAGATTTCATCCCGATACCTAATGTCAGTCAGGGTGCCATTGTCTAGCCTGTAGAGGTCTGTGCGTCCCTCCATGGATATGCCTCCCCAGACCATCACTGACCCACCACCAAAACGGTCATGCTGAACGATGTTACAGGCAGCAGAACATTCTCCACGGCTTCTCCAGACCCTTCATGTCTGTTATATGTGCTCAGGGTGAACCTGCTCTCATCTGTGAAAAGCACAGGGCACCAGTGGTGGACCTGCCAATTCTGATGTTCAATGGCAAATGCCAATCCAGCTCTATGGTGCCAGGCATTGAGCAGAGGGCCCACTAGAGGACGTCGGGCCCTCAGGCAACCATCATAAAGTCTGTTTCTGATTGGTCAGAGACATTCACACCAGTGGCCTGCTGGAAGTCCTTTTGTAGGGCTCTGGCAGTGCTCATCCTGTTCCTCCTTGTACAAAGGAGCAGATACCGGTCCTACTGATGGGTTAAGGACCTTCTACAGCCCTGTCCAGCTCTCCTAGAGTAACTGCCTGTCTCCTGGGATCTCCTCCATGCTCTTGAGACTGTGCTGGGAGACACAGCAAACCTTCTGGCAATGGCACGTATTGATGTTCCATCCTGGAGGAGTTGGACTGCCTGTGCAACCTCTGTAGGGTCCAGGTATCTCCTCATGCTACCAGTAGTGACACTGACCCTAGCCAAATGCAAAACTAGTGAAAAACAGTCAGAAAAGATGAGTAGGAAAAAAAAATGTCAGTGGCCTCCACCTGTAAAACCATTGCTGTTTTGGAGGTCGTATCATTGTTGCCCATCTAGTACACCTGTTGCTAATTTCATTAACACCAAAGCAGCTGCAACTGAACCCCCTCTGCGACTTACCTGACCAGATCAATATCTCAGGAGTTTCATTGATCTGATGTTATACTCTGATTAAACGTTTTCCTGTCGCCCTATAGCAGATATACTGTTACAAGGGGTGCGCAAAATCACGTGTGTGTGTGTATATATATATATATATATATGATTTGGCATTTCCGGGTAGGGGGCACGCATGAGGGGGGTAAATCCCCTGGAGGGCAAGTGATTATTATTATTATACAGGATTTATATAGCGCCAACAGTTTGCTCAGCGCTTTACAATATAACAGGAGACAATACAGCAACAATACAGTTCAATACAAGAAGGTTAGGAGGGCCCTGCTTCTCGGAGCTTACAATCTAGAAGGTTAACAAGTGTTCCTTTAATTTTTTTGAGCAGTGTATATGTCTGCGAAAAATAAGTAAATATGTTACTGACATGCTTTTTATAGAACCACGCCCATATTAAATGAATGCCCCACCCCTAAAGAAGGATATGCTAAGCCTACAGTGGCTTTCTGGACACACCATAATAAAAGGGTATCCCTAAAAACTTTTTGGAACTGTTGGCAACTATTGTAAAGGGATGGGGAGGCAACCCTACCCCCAACACATACATGTATGTGTTGACTCCAATCTATCCTTCCAGCCCCAAGTCCAATCACTAACAAACTCATGCAGACTCCACCTCCGCAACATCGCCAAAATCAGCACGTTCCTAACTCCAGAAACCACTAAGCAGCTCATCCACTCCCTCATCGTATCACGACTCGACTACTGCAACTCCCTCATCATATCACGACTCGACTACTGCAACTCCCTCATCATATCACGACTCGACTACTGTAACTCCCTCATCATATCACGACTCGACTACTGCAACTCCCTCATCATATCACGACTCGACTACTGCAACTCCCTCATCATATCACGACTCGACTACTGCAACTCCCTCATCATATCACGACTCGACTACTGCAACTCCCTCCTTACTGGCCTGCCTCGCCACAGGATATCCCCGCTTCAGACGATCCTGAATACGGCGGCCAGACTCATACACCTCATCAACCGCTCCGTTTCCGCCACCCCCCTCTGCCAATCCCTCCACTGGCTTCCGATTGCCCAACTGATCAAATTCAAAATCCTAACACTGACATACAAAGCTGTCCACCATACTGCCCCGAACTACACCACCGACCTAATATCCAAGTACCACCCAACACGCACTCTCCTCTCCTCACAAGACCTCCTTCTCTCTAGTTCCCTGGTCTCCTCCTCCCATGCCCACCTGCAGGACTTCTCCAGGGTGTCACCCATCCTCTGGAACTTCCTACCCCAATCCATCAGATTATCACCTACTCTCCTCTCCTTTAGGCGCACCCTGAAAACCCATCTCTTCAGGGAAGCCGACCCCACCCCCTGCTAACCTGCCGACCTCCTCCACTCTTCCCACCACTCCATCCCCCACAGCTATCTCCTCCTGTACCACCATCCCCTCCCTCCTAGATTGTAAGCTCCAAGGAGCAGGGCCCTCTAACCCCTCGTGTATCGCATTGTATTGTTATTGTACTGTCTCATGTACTGTCTCCCATTGTAATGTACAGCGCTGAGCGAACTGTTGGCGCTTTATAAATACTGTATAATAATAATAATGTATGTATGAATGCTCACACATTGTATGGGGGGGATCTGAAGTGCTTGCGTGTGACTTTCATTTTTTTTACACTTTTCTTCTTTGTTGCTGAAGTGTGCCTGGGGCCTAAATGGGATAATTCCCTGAGGCCTGGTTCTGTCGCACCACACAATGGTGTGCGCTGTGTAAACATCGCAGAATGACGCACTGCGCTGCGAGCAAACTGTCATTTGGTGACATTTCAATAAAGTTAAAGGAATTGAAGGACCGCGTGGGGTGCCGTAACAACGAAACGCATTGCTTTGTACGACGCGGGTCAGTGTATGGCGCAGGACAGGTGCAGGCTGAATGAGCTCTGTGGTACACATCGTTGTGTCATTTCCCTCCATGGGGATTTTCTTTCTTCCCTTTCGGAATGTTCTGGCAGACCGTGAATGAACACAATCCTAGATTAAACTCATCTTTATTATTCCTATCCTCACACACCCATGTTGGTTCTCATTCACAATAGGAGGCAGCCATGATGGGCCGTCGTGTCTGGTCACGTGACCCCTGTGGGCGGGCAGCGTCCTCCTTTAAGACGCCCTGCAGTACCAGCACAGCCGGTGACCTGGCTCAACTCCGCAGCCGTGACGTCGGCCCGTCCCAGCTCCGCCCCTTCAATCACACGCTTCCTTTTTTTTTCCTTTCACCTCCCAGCTTTGCAGACGGCCCTGCCCCCCGTGTTATTGTCACGCCGGAGCAGCCAATCACATCGCGGCGGCGCCTTGCCTCGGTGCGTCACGCGGCCAATGAGCCACCGAAACGGTCCGTAGGGGGCGGGGACTAGGGGCGTGTCCTGCCGGGTCGGGAAACAAAGAAGAAAAATAGAGGGAGTGTGGAGGAAGAGAAAAGTGGAGCGGGCGGGCGGCCTGAGCTTTGCCGGGGGATCCCGCGGGCCGGTGCGGGCGGACAGGTCGATGAGGTGATCTGGAGCCGTCGGGAAGAGCCGCTCTGACGTCGCCATGCCGGGCGGAGGGTGTGAGCGCGGCCTCCTGGAGCCCCGAGCTGGAGGAGATCCGGGTGAGGCTGGCGGCGCTGGGCCCGGAGGAGGACGACGACAGGCCGGGGGAGGACGGGGTGCCGCCAGCCGTGCGCAGGAAGAGCGTCAACACCAACGAGCTGGTCCCGGTACCGAGCTCCGAGCATGTGGCCGAGATTGTGGGCCGGCAGGGTGAGTGGACCCTGGGGGGGAGGGGCGCTGAGGTCACCCGGGGGGAGGGGCGGGGTTACAGGAGCAGGGGGATGAGTGTGTACCAGGAGATGTCATCACCAAACCGTGCCCTGTAGGGGGCAGTGAGGAGACTCAGGGCGAGGGGAGTGGGGTGTGTCTGGAGTGATTGGGGGGTTGGATTTGGAGGAGCACATGAATGAATGAAGGTGGGGGGGGGGAGTGTGGCGGTGGCCCATCACTGTATGTCAGGGGTGCCAGCCGTTGCCTGTGATCACTGCTACAGCAGTACAATGTCACCAAACCAGCGCTGCCCCCCTATCACCTCTGCACCAGTCGCAGTGCCCCCCCATCGCCGCCGCACCAGTCGCAGTGCCCCCCCAATCACACCCACAAAGCCCTGATCACCGGCACATCAGTTGCAGCATCTTCAATTGTATTCGTAGTATCCCCAGTCATTACCGCACCAGTCGCAGTGCCTCCCCATCGCCGCCGCACCAGTCGCAGTGCCTCCCCATCGCCGCCGCACCAGTCGCAGTGCCTCCCCATCGCCGCCGCACCAGTCACAGTGCCTCCCCATCGCCGCCGCACCAGTCGCAGTGCCCCCCAATCACACCCACAACGCCCTGATCACCGGCACATCAGTTGCAGCATCTTCAATTGCATTCGTAGTATCCCCAGTCATTACCGCACCAGTCGCAGTGCCTCCCCATCGCCGCACCAGTCGCAGTGCCTGCCTCCCCATCGCCGCACCAGTCGCAGTGCCTCCCCATCGCCGCACCAGTCGCAGTGCCTCCCCATCGCCGCCGCCGCACCAGTCGCAGTGCCCCCCCTCACGCCGCCGCACCAGTCACAGTGCCCCCCTCTCCCATCGCCGCTGCACCAGTCGCAGCGTCCCCAATCACACTCACAACGTCCTGATCACCGGCACACCAGTTGCAGCATCTTCAATTGCATTGGTAGCATCCCCAGTCATTACCGCACTAGTTGCGGCGCCCCTGACCACAGTTGCACCGTCCCTGATTGCTGTCGCAGTGTTCCCAGTCACTGTTGCACACATTGCAGTGTTCCTGATCACTGTCACACCAGTCGCAGCATCCCCAGTCACCGTCGCATCATTCGCAGTGTCCCCTCTGCTGCTACCTGGACACATTTTTTGGCGGTTTGCTGATGTCTGCCTGGATCCGGAACTGACACAGCACATCGATGCGACTACGTTCCAGGCCAGGGAACGCGGCATTCCTGGGGGCAGCAGGCTAGGCTTGCTTGGCTTATAGGACCTGAGACTGCTATAGGCGGCGCTACACTGAGCTGTTTTCCCTGACCTCCCGTATAGAGGTGACCATTACCACACATTGGTCTGGATACAATTGGTCGATTTGTGTGGTCCACAATCTCAACATCCCTGATCACCACTGCACCAGTCGCAGCATCCCCAATATACACAGCTCAGAAAAATGAAAGGAACGCTGTAATCAGAGTCTAGCATGAAGTCAATGAAACTCCTGGGATATTGATCTGATCAGTGAAGTAGCAGAGGGGGTTGTTAATCAGTTTCAGCTACTTTGGTGTTCATAAAATTAACAGGTGCACTAGATGGGCAACAATGAGATGACCCCCAAAACAGAAATGGTTTTACAGTTGGAGGCCACTGACATTTTTCCCTACTCCATCTTTTCTGACTGTTTTTCACTAGTTTTGCATTTGGCTAGGCTCAGTGTCACTACTGGTAGCATGAGGCCATACCTGGACCCTACAGAGGTTGTACAGGCAGTCCAACTCCTCCAGGATGGTACATCAATACGTGTCATTGCCAGAAGGTTTGCCGTGTCTCCCAGCACAGTCTCAAGAGCATGGAGGAGATTCCAGGAGACAGGCAGTTACTCTAGGAGAGCTGGACAGGGCTGTAGAAGGTCCTTAACCCATCAGCAGGACCGGCATCTGCTCCTTTGTGCAAGGAGGAACAGGATGAGTACTGCCAGAGCCCTACAAAGTGACCTCCAGCAGGCCACTGGTGTGAATGTCTCTGACCAAACGATAGAAACAGACTTCATGAGGGTGGCCCGAGGGTCGGAAGTCCTCTAGTGGGCCCTCTGCTCACTACCCGGCAGCACCATAGAGCTCCATTGGCATTTGCCATTGAACACCAGAATTGGCAGGTCCGCCACTGGCACCCTGTGCTTTTCACAGATGAGAGCAGGTTCACCCTGAGCACATGTGACAGACATGAAAGGGTCTGGAGAAGCCATGGAGAACTTTCTGCTGCCTGTAACATCGTTCAGCATGACTGTTTTGGTGGTGGGTCAGTGATGGTCTGGAGAGGCATATCCATGGAGGGACGCACAGACCTCTACAGGCTAGACAATGGCACCCTGACTGCCATTAGGTATTGGGATGAAATCCTTGGACCCATTGTCAGACCCTACACTGGTGCAGTGGGTCCTGGGTTCCTCCTGGTGCAGTGGGTCCTGGGTTCCTCCTGGTGTATGACAATGCCCAGCCTCATGTGGGGAGAGTATTCAGGCAGTTCCTGGAGATGAAGGAATTGATACCATTGAATGGCCCCCACGCTCGCCTGACCTAAATCCAATAGAACACCTCTGGGATGTCATGTTTCAGTCCATCCGACGCCTCCAGGTTGCATCTCAGACTGTCCAGGAGCTCAGTGATGCCCTGGTCCAGATCTGGGAGGAAATCCCCCAGGACACCATCTGTCATCTCATTAGGAGCATTCCCCGACGTTGTCAGGCATGCATACAATCACGTGGGGGCCATACAGACTACTGAGGACCATTCTGAGTTGCTGCAATGACATTTCAGCAAAATGGACTCGCCTGTTGCATCATTTTTTTCACTTTGATTTTCGGGGTGTCTCTGCAGTCCCCTGTAGGTCGATCATTTTCATTTCCATTAAACAATGGGTCATCCTTATGTTCCTAACACATCACCCCGTCCATATCAGTATAGAGATCCAGCAGGAGATTCCTCCCCATTGAGATCTGATGTGCTTTCAGAGAGATCCTTTCATTTCTTTGAGCCGTGTATTATGTCTGGTATAGTATACAATGTCTGGCATATGACGCTATATAAAGCGCTGAGCAAACTGTTGGCGCTATATAAATCCTGTATAATAATAGTGGAAAGATTGGAGGGGGCAGTTTCGGGGTTTCCTTTGACAAGTACTGGAGGGAATTGATGATGTTCTTCCATACAGGTTGGTTCTCCGAGCTTTCCAAGGCCTTGTTTCTCCAGAAGTTGCAGCTTATAGTCTGCATTTGGCCAATCGGATAGCACAGTTATATTCCATAGAATTTTTTTTTTCTTTAATACTCTGAAAAATGGAGGAAAAAGAAATCTATTTTTTTGTGTTTTTTTTATTTAGAACTGCTCTAATTTACCTGGTAATTGTGTGGTCATGCAGCGCTGTACCTAAATGAAATTTCTATTATTTCTTTCACACAAATAGAGCTTTTTTATTTAGTGTTATTTTTGCGATATAAATTAAAAAAAAGACGAAAAATCTAGGAAAAAAAAAAATTTTTTACTTTCTGCTATAAAACATATCCAATAGAGACATTTCAAAAATCAAATTTCTTCATAAAATTTGGCCATAATGTATTTTGTCACGTGTTTGATGAAAACCCAATAAGTGTTTATTGAGCTGATTTTGAATGTTTGCCCCTCACAAATGATCAGTCTACAAATCAAATGTTCGGTGTATTGTAACACTGAGAGACAGAATAGCAACAGCAAATTCAAAAGAAATCCATGTCTAACAAATGATGCACTGATTTGCATGTTCATGAGGGAAATAAGTATTTGATCCCCTTCACAAAACATGACTTAGTACTTGGTGGCAAATCCCTTGTTGGCAATCAGAGGTCAGGGGTTTCCTGTAGTTGGCCTCCAGGTTTGCACACATCTCAAGAGGGAGTTTGGCCCACTCCTCTTGGCAGATCCTCTCCAAGTCATTAAGGTTTGGTGGATGACGTTTGGCAACTCGAACTTTCAGCTCCCTCCACAGATTTTCAATCGGATGAAGGTCTGGAGACTGGCTAGGCCACTCCAGGACCTTAACGTGCTTCTTCTTGAGCCACTCCTTTGTTGGCTCAGCCATGTGTTTTGGGTCATTGTCATGCTGGAACACCCATCCACGACCCATTTGAATATGTTTTATAGTAGAAAGTAAAAAAAAAAAAAAAATATATATATATATATATATATATATATATATAATTTTATTTTTTTATTATATTTTTTTTTCAAGATTTTCTGTATTTAAATTACATTTTTTACTAATGGCAGCGACTTATAGTGGGATTGTGTTAGTGTGTCAGGCAATCTGACATTAACTGATGCTGGAATGGAAAACCGCCATTTGTAGACGTTCTAACTTTCACATAAACCAATTAATATACACTTGTTGTGATTTTTTTTTTTTTTTTTTTTTTTTTTTTTTTTTTTCCCAGCAAAGACATTATTATTATACAGGATTTATATAACACCAACAGTTTGCTCAGTGCTTCACAATATAATGGGAGACAATACAGTATTGAACAAAAGGGAAAGGAGGGCCCTGATCCTTGGAGCTTACAATCTAGGAGACATGTTGCAGAATTTATTTATTTCAGGTACTTGTATAGCGCTGTCAATTTACGCAGCGCTTTACACATATATATTGTACATTCACATCAGTTCCTAACCCTCAAGGGGTGTACAATCTAAGGTCACTAACTCACATTCATACATACACATACTAGGGACAATTTAGACAGGAGCCAGTTCACCTATCGGCATGCCTTTGGAGTGTGGGGGAGGAAACTGGAGTACCCGGAGGAAACCCACGCAGGCACAGGGAGAGCATGCATACTCCAGGCAGGTGGTGCCATGGTTGGGATTCGAACCAACGACCCGAGTACTGCCAGGCAGAAGTGCTAACCATTTAGCGACTGTGCTGCTCCAGTATATTATGGCCTAAATTTATAATGACATTTTTTAATTTTTTTTTACTGGATATGTTTTATAGCAAAATTTGTTAGTCTTTTTAGCGCAAAAAATAAAAATGTACAGAGGTGATCAAATACCACCGAAAGAAAGCTCTATTTGTGAGTAACAAATGACATCAATTTCATTTCCGCACACCATTGCATGACCGTGCAATTGTCAGTTAAAGCGGAGTTCCACTCACGCTGTCAAAAAATAAGTCAGCAGCTACAAAAACTGTAGCTGCTGACATTTAAAAAAAACAGCCACTTACCTGTCCCTCGGCCCCGTGGTGTGTCCCTCGCAGCCCATTTCACTGGCCGTCCTGTATTCCAGGAGGTCGGCATCTTCAGTGTGGGCACCTGGCTGTGACAGCTTGCGGCTTCACAGCCGGGTACCCACTGCACATGTGCGAGTAGCGCTGCGCGTCATGAATGGTCCTGTAGTCTTCTGGGACTTGACTTGTCCCAAAAGACTACAGGAAGGGAGGACACCTTCCGATCGCCTAGGTGATCGGACTGGAAGTGGGTACCTGTCAAATTTGGGTACCTGCTCACCCCACCCCGCCCCCCAAAGGTGCCAATCCTTAATAGGGAGCAGGGGATCCTTTTTGGGTGGAGCTTCGCTTTAAAGTAATGCAGAACCGTATCGCAAAAAATGGCCGGGTCAGGAAGGGGGGGTGGATCCTCTGGAGGGCAAGTGGTTAAAGTGGCAGCAGAGTGCTTCCAAACCATGGTTCTGCCTAGGCATCCTTTGTTCTTCTAGCCTCACTGTAGCAGTGTCAGTTGATATCCTTGGTGTCATATCCTGCCCACTCATGCCTCTCAATTCTGGATTACATTGATGGTGTCATCAAGGTGTAGAGGCAGAAGAGTGATTAGATGATGGCTTGTAGCTCTGCTAGTATGGTGGCTACCTTCTAGTCACCAGCACTATTGAATATGTGATAGAGTGAACCAAGGATAACGAGCCGTGGCGGATGGCCTGCAGTCAGTTCCAAATCCTTTATAGCCGACTTGTCAAGCGCTGATTGAATGGCGGCCTATATTGTGCTGGGGTAAGATGCACGTTGCATCAGTGTGCTGGTAAGACTTTCATTTTGAATCTAAGTACACTGACAATGCTCCTGCATGGTAGCACCCCACAACGCACTGTGCGATGCCGTGCGTTGTGTTCACTAAAACCTTTCAGGTGCAGTGTTAAGTAGGCTACTACCGTTCAAGCCTTTCCTTTTTCCCCGCACTTGCAGCACCCCCCCCCCCCCCCCCCCCCCCCCCCCCCCCCCCCCCCCCCCCCCCCCCCCCGTGTTATACAGATTTCTCAATTTACTGCTGTAAATGTATTTTACTAGTCCTGTGCGATGCATTTTCAGCCCATTCAAGAGTAGTGTATGGATGACTTTTTTTATCCTCTTTCCGTCGGTGCGCATATTTGCGGCCTTTCGGTGGGTGGGCCTTACCGCTGAGAGGCCACATATATGCGTGCAAAATGTAAACAGAGAAAGTGTGCACCCGGCTTAGTTACTGGCGGCTAATAGCTCCTGATCTCTACCAGACCGGTAAACTACATCACCAATCTGGTATCCAAGTACCACCCAAACCATACTCTCCGCTCCTCCCAAGACCTCCTACTCTCTAGTTCCCTGGTCTCCTCCTCCCACGCCCGCCTCCAGGACTTCTCCATGGCTTCCCCCATCCTCTGGAACTCCCTACCCCAATCCATTAGACTATCAACTACTCTCCTCTCCTTTAGGCGCACTCTGAAAACCCATCTCTTCAGGGAAGCCTACCCCCACCCCCTGCTAATTACTGAACTCCTCCACTCTTCCTACCACTTCATCCCCCACAGCTTTTCCTCTTGTACACACTATCCCCTCCCTCCTAGATTGTAAGCTCCAAGGAGCAGGGCCCTCGAACCCCTCGTGTATTGAATCGTATTGTTACTGTACTGTCTTGTGTATTGTCTCCCATTATAATGTAAAGTGCTGAGCAAACTATTGGCACTATATAAATCCTGTATAATAATAATTTCTGGGTAGGGGGCATCCTGTGCCGCCATTGGCAGCTACAGCTGTTGATCATCGGGTTCTGGCCAGAGATTCCCCACTGACACCTGGCAATCGCTGAGAAACACTGACAGGGGAGAGGTCTGTATGTACACAATAGAGATCTCTCCCCTGTCAGCACCAGCACACTGCTTTGTATTGCTCTGCATAGCATTTTCATTTTGGTGCAGCACTAGAAAAAACACATCCCCTTAGTGCATGCTCAAGCAGCTGATCAACAGATAGCTCAGCTACAGTCTGCAGCAACCAGCAGGCAGGAGCATGTATCTGTAAAGGGATGCTGAGGATGTGTTCTTTAAGGACAAGTTCACTTTTTGTAACATGTTACACCCATATTAAGGGTGTAACATGTTATGATCAGACCAGCCCCTGCACCCCAAACCCCCCCACCCCCCTTCTCTTTTTTTTTTTTTTTTTTTTTTTTTTTTTTTTCCCCCGTTCGCTGCCATAATTTTTAAGAGAGGCGGCCATGTGGGGCTTCGCCTGCCTGACCGTGTCACTTATTCCTGCCTGACCGTGTCACTTATTCACACTGTTCTGTGAATGGGAACACTACAAGTTCCAACAGCTTTTGCGGCTGTCGGCTTGTAGTTTTCAATGAACTACCACGGCGCTCCACAACACAATGGTCATTCATTGAGCCTTCCTGTCAGTACCGTAAGTATTTGCTTGCCCATATGGGATGTACAAGCAAACCGGTATACTGACAGGTCAGGTGGTTCAATGCTTTAGACGCTACAAAAGCAAAAAATAATAAATGCCCTTTTTTACTTGCAAAAAAATGTTCATTTTATTATTTTTTGGTTAAAAGATGAACTTCTCCTTTTTAATGGTTTTGAAAGTAAATCTAATGCGGGGTGCACATGGGCCATTCAACAGAAACCTTCCAACGTTCAGCTAGTGTGTACAGCAGCCTGTACAGTCAGTGTTGATGGGGGAATCCCTCCCGCCACACTATTGTGGGGAAGCTTCCCAGCTGGCAGAACACAATGATTACTTCTAGCGTCTATAGCTGCTGGTAGTGATTGCATTCTAAAAATCCAACAGGCTGGCTGTACCCAAATCCATCCAATAAGCCTGCCCATAGAGGGTTCAAATCTTGGCTGAACCAGCTGAGATTCAGTCCATCTATGCTTGGCTTACACCTTTGCGCCGGCGCCTCTTGGCCCTTTAAGAGGTTTCAAAAGCCAGGAGGCGGGGCAGGGTTTTAAGATCATGTGACCGCCATGATTCGCGGTCACATAATCGGAAAAGGTCCCAATCGCAAAGGGAGATCAGGACCTATCCATGAGTGACGGACATATGTGCTGAGGGCTCGTGCTCTCAGCACATATGTATTTTCAAATGGTACGCAATTATGTGGCTGTTCAGCGTCGAAGCCCAGATCCCGAGAGGCCGCATATTTGTGTGCACTCGGCGTCTAGGGGTTAAAGTGGCTCTCCGCTTTGTAACAGAAAATTAAGGCAGAAGTTACAAATCCTGTAGCTGCTGACTTTTAAAATTTGGGACACTTGCCTGTCCAGGGACCTTTACTAGCCTTTGGGTTCCCAGCGCTGACGTGTTAAGTATTGGCACCCGGCTGCACAAGCCGTGCTGCGATTTGTTGATGGTCCTGCAGTCTCCTGGGACATGCGATCTATCCCAGAAGACTGCAGGGAGAGAGGGGGAAAGGAGAAGTCAAAACTAGGTACCTGCTTTGATTGGCTCATCGGGTCACACAATTCAATACATGCCCAAAATTTGGGACTAGTGACTTGCCTTCTGCACCATGGTCTCTGCGGTTAGCCCTGTGTTTTTTGCAGTTGCAGTTTTCTACAGGGGATATTATTTGCATGGAGTTTGTACATGCTGTCTTTTTTTTGGAGGGAATCTCCCAGGTGGCAGTGTATAATTATATCGCATGGAGACCTCATAATACTAAGGCCGGCCATACATGGGTTGAAATTCGACCGATTTTTTTTATTTTTATTTTTTTCGTCTGAAAATCGGCCGATTTTCGCTCTGTTATTGGGTCAATGGCACCGGACAATTTTCGTGTTTCCTCCCCTTTTCGGTGATCGGGCATGTTGGAAAATTAGTGAAAAACGATCGATTTTCGACTCGATGGTCAAATCGTACAATCGTTTTTCTGAAAAGATGCGCATGAGCCGTGATCTGGAAGGAACAGAAGTTTTCCATGTTATATGGGGTGAACTTTGACTTGGTCAGCCGATTTTTGAAATCATTGATGGCGCCATCGGATTACCGAGCGAACGGCGTTTCCGATTTTCGGCCGAAAAATCGTTCGGAATTTGAACCATGTATGGCCTGCATAAAGCAGCATTTACTATTCTCGGAAACTAAAGGGTGTGACAGGCTCCTGGCAACTTATCAGTGATCAGCTGGTTTGTTAAACTTGTTATATTAGATGTAGGAAAACCAGCAAACTGTTCTACCCCCCCCCCCCCCCCCCCCCCCCCCCCACAGGTGGGTGTCCTTTCCTTTATCTCACCATGGTGCGTGTGATACCTTTTTTATTGTTTGCGAAGGTTAATGTACATTTTTTTTTTTTTTAAAGATTGGCTTTCCTGTCTGCACCCTTTACATCAGGGGTGTCAAACTGGTGGCCCTCCAGCTGTTGCGAAACTACAAGTCCCATCATGCCTCTGCCTTTAGGAGTCATGCTTGTAACTGTTAATCTTGCAATGCCTCATGGGACTTGTAGTTTGGCAACAGCTGGAGGGCCGCCAGTTTGACACCCGTGCTATAGAGTAGCAGCAGGATTCAGATGCAGAATGGAAAGGCTGGGTCCACCTTGTACAAAAAAAGGTAATAAATGAAGCCGCATTGATGTATGATGAATGTGCATTTTTCATCATTTTTGCGGCATCTGGTATCGGGGAGGCAGGGGCGGACTGACCATTTGGAAACTCGGGCACTGCCTGAGGGCCCGGGGTCAGTAGGGGGCCCCATGAGATGCCCCTGGTACCTTTTTTTTTTTTTTTTTTTTTTTTTTTTTTTTTTGAGTTTGGGCAAGGACACAGGCCCCATGATCCCCTATTGCCTGGGGGCCCCATGAGTTGTCAGTCCGCCCCTGCGGGGCGGTTTGGTTTTTTGGGATGGTGTATGTGGCCACACCCTAAATGAGTGTAACATATAACATGATCTAAAACTCAGACTTGACCTGACCCTTTCTCTGCCACCGACATGTGTCCACAGCAGGGGGCTCTGCTCATACTCCTGGCTTCTGTAGCAGCTGTGTGTTATACGGACAAGCTGACTGTCAGCTGTCTGCTTGAATCGATTGGTCAGTTGTACTCGACACCTCGAAAATATTCGGCCTCCCTCCCCCGCCCAATATTTCTAGATGAGAAAAACCATTTACCACTGACAGGGATGCTTACAATCATCAGCTTTTAGTTCTATTAAACCTTTACCCTAGAAAGACAAAAACTGTTTGCTGTAATTGCTTATAAAGTGTGAGCTGCAGTTTGGCTTCAATTTGTTAGCGTATTTAAATCTGCTAGTACAGGGCATGACAAATTTTGCGTTTTGAATCTTGGAGCCAGCAAAAAAGTTGGGAGCCCTTTTTTTTTTTTTTTTTTTTTTTTTTTTTTTTAAATCGGCTGCCTGCCTCCCCAAAAAAAAAAAAGAAAAAGCTGTGACCTAATTTCCCCCAAACCCAACCACTAACCCCCTGGCCCCTCTGCACCACTGTCCTGCAATCCCCCGCTGTTGGGCATCACGCCGCTTCACCGTCTGAGGATTCATATGAAATGTTCCTGACAGCGGACGGCTGACAAAAGCCCAGGCACCAGGATGCAATTTCTAGTCGCCTGGGATTTGTCTAGAATTGTGCTAGTATAGCTGGCCATACACTACCATCTTCTGTTCAATTTCTGCCCAATTTCCTTTAGATTTACCTTCAACTATGTAGTGCAAGGGCTTGCCTAATTGGATACAACTGAAAGTGTTGTTCAGTTTTGACCTCATATTATATGGTTTTTGGTAAATCTAAAGCAATTTTCTAAAGAAAATTGTATGATGTATGGCCAGCCTTACACTACCCTCTCCCCAAACTGACAATGCTGCTGTGTCACCTGTGCTCCTTTATACAGAGTGGGGGCACTCTGCAGGGTGTGTTACTGGCCAGATCACCAGGTAAAAACGGGGGGTGGGGGGGGGGGGGGGGGGGGGGGGGGGAGCCGAAAAAAACCCAATGAAGCCACCACATCTAATGATTGGTAAGCTGTATACATTACAGTTTTGGGTTTAATACGATTTAAACACTTTTTGCTTGAGGTTTTTTCTTATTTTAATTATCTTTAGCCAATGATAAACCGGTTACTAGGGGGGGAAATATGCAATAAGGAAGTTGTTGTGTGTTCTTTTTATTTTTTCTTGAAGTCTGTTGGGACCAAAAATGCTTGAAAAAAACCTGTAGCTCCAAAAAGTACTTTATCAAGCTACAAGTCTCAAGCGACATTGGGCTCAAGTGTGGACAGACAGTAGAAACAATCGATCTTACTGAAAGTTGAAAGGGGGGGGTCATAAAAGTTAATCTGTGCTTTGCCCGAGGACCGCAATCAAAAAGGTTCATAGTCCTATGCTTTGCATTTTACAGTAATACAAGGGGCATTTCTAGGGGGCATTTAAAAAAAAAAAAAAAAAAAAAAAAAAAAAAAAGTCCTGTTTTTTTTTTTCCCATTTTTTTTCTTAACCACTTCAGCTCCGGAGGGTTTTAACCTCTTCATGAGTAGGCCATTTTTCTATTGATTGGTTTGCGTAAACGTTATACCCAGTCTACAAACTATGGTGTGTGTGTGTGTGTGTGTGTGTGTGTGTGTGTGTGTGTGTGTTGGGATTTTTATGCTTTTTATTAGTGGTGCACTGAAATTTTAATTCTGGTGCTGAAAACGAAAATTCAAAATGCGCTTGGCCGAAAACCGAAACTGGAATGTGCAGTTTTTAAAAATGAATATACATTTTTTATAAAGAAATATACTTTGATTAGAAAACAAACAAAACCCATCATATATACTCCAATTGATTTGTAAAATTATGAACGAGAAAGTTACGGTGCGTAAATAGATACCAAACATGTCACGCTTTAAAATTGCGCACGCTCGTGGAATGGCATCAAACTGCGGCATTTAAAAAATCTCCATGGGTGATGCTTTAAAAATGTCTGCAGGTTAGCAGTGTAAAGTTACAGAGGAGGTCTAGTGCGAGAATTATTGCTCTTTCTCCAACAATCGTGGCGATGCCTCACATGTGGTTTGAACACCGTTTACATATGTGGGCATGGCGGGCATTCTGACACTGGGAGGGAACGGACTAGCTGCCAGGGGGGGCCTGTGATTGTACGCTGGGCTGGGGGGGGCCTGTAATTGTTTGCTGGGCTGAGGGGGGGATCTGTGATTGTACGCTGGGCTGAGGGGGGGATGTGATTGCACACAGCAAATCAGCAGGTCCCGGCCATGAATCATTGACTGGGACTCACTAACAGGCTCCTGCTGTATACAATCACAGCGGGGGCACACATGCGCGCACCCTATACCCGGAAGCAGGCAGTGGGTACGTCTCTTTGCCTGTGCAGGCCACCCGTCCTCAGTACATTGCAAGTAGGCGGTCCACAAGTGGTTATGGAAGAGCACAATCTATGGCACGGGTGTCAAACTGGTGGCCCTCCACCTGTTGTCAAACTACAAGTCCCATGAGGCATTGCGTTGCAAGCATGACTCCCAAAGGCAGAGGCATGATGGGACTTGTAGTTTCGCAACGGCTGGAGGACCGCCAGTTTGACACCCCTGCTCTTTGGCATGTTTACTGCCACATTCTGGCAAGAGCCTATCCCCTCCTATCCCCTGAGCAATCCTACTGAAAAATAGATTTGGGTTTTAAATGTCTTGAGCAGAACAGAGACCTTCCTGGGCGATTCTGGCTTTCCAGATCACTGATCTATTGAACCTTTCAACTCTCTGGGTGACATCACTCTGTTTGCTGTGTCATGAATAGCAGCGGGTTTAATGACTCCAGCCATAAATATCTCTTATCTCTGGACATAGAGCCACGTGACACAATTGTCACTTATTTCTGTGACTATAAAGCTGGCCAAACCTGTATACATTTATTTTGTTCAGGCTGAATGAGAGAAATCTAACCGGCTACTTCCCACGTCCCCACTGCCGGGCTGTTTCCTGGAAGCCCCTGAACAGCGCCTGCATCTGGCTGGATATAGGCACTGTTTGTCTGACAATTTTCCGATCGGCCCCTTTGACAAGAGTAGATTGAACAATTGATCTTTGTTGAACAAACAAGTGCAGGCAGGGCCATCCACTGCTCAGGTTTGGCGTGCCAGCAGATCTGGTTACATGATCCGGCTTCCCTGTGTCAGCCAGAGGCAGCTGCAGGGGAGAGGAAGGAGTGCAGACAACAGATGGGCTATAGGAGCATATGGGGACATGACTCCAGGCTTTCCCAGCTGTTGTCAGGCGCTCTCTCCTCTCCCCTGAAGCCACCACTGGCTGACATAGAGGATCATGTGACCAGAGTGAGTGAAATTGGTTAGATATATACTTTTTTTTTTTTTTTTCCTTTTCCTCTTTCCCTTCTTTTTTTTTTTCCCTTTCCTTCTTTTTTTTTCCCTTTCCCTTTCCCTTCCTTTTTTTTTTCCCCTTTCCCTTCCTTTTTTTTTTTTTTTCCCCTTTTTTTTTTTCCCTTTCCTTCCTTTTTTTTTTCCCCTTTCCCTTCCTTTTTTTTTTTCCCTTTCCCCCTTTCCCTTCCTTTTTTTTTTTCCCTTTCCCTTCCTTTTTTTTTTCCCTTTCCCTTCCCTTCCTTTTTTTTTTTCCCTTTCCCTTCCTTTTTTTTTTTCCCTTTTTCCTTTTTTTTTTTCCCCCCTTTTTTTTTTTTTTCCCTTTCCCTTCCTTTTTTTTTTCCCTTTCCCTTTTTTTTTTTTTTTTTTTCCCTTTCTTTTTTTTTTTTCCCTTTCCTTCCTTTTTTTTTTTTTTTTTTTTTTTTTTTTCCCCCTTTCCCTTTTCCTTCCTTTTTTTTTTTTTTTTTTTTTTTTTTTTTTTTTCCCTTCCTTTTTTGTGTGTTTTTTTTTTTTTTTTCTTTCCAGCATAGGGAACCTATTCAGGATAGCTAGTTTTAGGCAGGAATTCTACTACAACCCATCGCCATCTCTCAATCGGAAAACGTATATGCTTTAATCTGGAGAATCCCTTTAAATGGGAGACTTGTCATGAGAGAATATGGGGGGGTGTCATTGCTGACCTCTTGTGCTGTAATGCTGGGTTTCTAACTATTATGGCACTCCAACTGTTTCCATACTTTGTGTCACTAATCAGGAGCAAGTATACCAGCCAGAATTTCTGTCTTAGCATTCTTGTTCTAGGTGAGTGAATGATTATTATGAAATGAGAGACAACCAGATGACTAGCATTTGTACAACAAGGTCATCAGTAGTGGCCTACTAGCTTCTCTTAGGTGCTTTTTTTTTTTTTTTTTTTTTTTTTTTTTTTTTTTTTTTTTTTTTTTTTTTTTCCCCTACTTGCTTGTAGGGTGAATGGTTTTTCTGTATTATATTTTTCTCCTTTTTGTAGTGTATCTATATTCGTTTTTTTTAGTGAACTTTCTTTTTTTTTTCTATTTATCCATCTAGGATGCAAGATCAAGGCGCTAAGAGCGAAGACTAATACCTACATAAAGACCCCAGTCCGTGGTGAAGAACCAGTATTTGTCGTTACTGGAAGGAAAGAAGATGTAGCGATGGCAAAAAGGGAAATCTTGTCTGCCGCGGAACACTTTTCTATGATTCGAGCATCTCGCAACAAAAATGGCCCTTCGGCTGGTAGCGTTCAGTGCACTCCCAACCTTCCGGGTCAAACCACCGTACAAGTAAGAGTACCTTACCGAGTGGTTGGCCTTGTCGTAGGGCCAAAGGGAGCTACCATAAAACGTATACAGCAGCAAACCCACACCTACATCGTCACTCCAAGTCGTGACAAAGAACCAGTGTTTGAAGTCACAGGGATGCCAGAAAATGTCGATCGAGCCCGCGAGGAGATTGAAATGCACATAGCCATGCGCACTGGCAACTACATTGAGCTCAACGAAGAGAACGATTTTCACTATAACGGTACAGATGTCAGCTTTGAAGGAAACTGCATAACCTCAACCTGGTTAAACACGAATCCATCCGCCCCAGGCCGTAACAAGATGATTTCCAACTATCGAAACGATAGCTCAAGTTCTTTGGGAAGTGGCTCTACAGATTCCTTTTTAGGAAGCAACCGGCTGGCTGACTTTAGCCCAACCAGTCCCTTCGGTGCGAGCAATTTCTGGTTCGGTGAAGCCATGCCCCCTGTCGGCTCTGAAGAAATAGCCGACACCTCTGCCTTTGATCCAATACCATCTCCATCTGAGACAATATGGGCAACTTTTGACCAGGGAAATCCACTCTCCGGCTACGGAAGTGAAGTCACTGCGAAATCTCAGCGCAGGGGCAGCATGTCCCCTACTTTCCCAGAAGGTCTGGAATACCCACTGGGCAGAAGTGTTCGAAGTGACCTTTCAAGCACAAACGAGGCTGGGCTTCCCATTTACATCCCTGCGTTCTCCAACAGCACCAACAGCTACTCCTCTTCCAGCGGCGGCTCCACCTCCAGTTCCCCACCGGAGACGAGGCGCAAGCACGACTGCGTCATCTGCTTCGACAACGAAGTCATAGCCGCCCTCGTTCCCTGCGGCCACAACTTCTTCTGCATGGAGTGCGCCAACAAGATCTGCCAGAAAGAGATGCCACTCTGCCCTGTGTGCCAGGCGCCAGTCAACCAGGCCATACAAATACATTCTTAAACTCTTTTCTTTCCAACAAGCGCTCTACAGCAGTCTTCCTCCTAATATATATCTCTTAGCATATACAAAGGCCAGTCTGGCTATAAAAAAATATAAAAACTTTGCTGCTACCAACTCACGTTAAGATTCTGCATGCCCTTTCTGACTTTGGCCGATTTTCAGTCAGTTGGCAGAGATTCTTCCTGATGTTGGTATATACAACGTATGATAAATTATAATTTTACAGGTAGTTAACGTGAAAACGAAAAATTATGTTTACATAGGTTGAAATTCAATCACATTTTTTCTGTTTTCTCGAATTTTTTTTCACTACCCTTCTTTTTTTTTTTTTTTTTTTTTTTTTTTTTTTTTTTTAACCCAAAACGAGAATAATATAAATTTCAGTTATATTGGTAAACCCGTTTTGGGGGGGAGGGGAGTGATAACCCTGCAGTATTGGCAGATGGGGTGGATTTTGTTGTACATCACTGTTCAGAATTGGAAACACTACCACAAAATCTATTCTACTATTTTCAGGTTGGAACTGTCCATATGTCAGTCTGCATTTTTTTTTTTTTTTTTTTTTTTTTTTTTTTTCGAAAACTCTGAATTTCATTATTTAACAAGAAAAAAAAAAAAAAACAAAGCTTTACAATGCACAAACTGGCTAATTGGGAATATTTTTATTCCTTTTTAGTCTGATCAAGTTATTAATATATTATTTTAGGAAAATATATTGTAAATGTGAATACTTTTTAATTGAGCCAGCCATGACTTGAACTTTTAGTTTTTAGTTAACCAAGGGAAAGGCTGGGAAAGGACTATATTTACCAAAATTTGAGGAGGGTGGACGATGACACTCGTAATTAAAGTATCGTCATGTATTTTAGATCTCACACAGGTAGGGAGGGGGTATAGTTTTTAAGTATATATATATTTTTTTTTCTTTATTTTTGCATTTCAAATTTCAACCTGTGGATTTATTTAGTTAAATCTTCCAGTCTGTTTTTTAAAATACATCAAATATGCAGGAAAAAAAAAAAAACCTAAGGAATTTTCTAATATTTGTGAAACCTTTTTATTTCTCAGAGTTCAAAAAAAAAAAAAAACACTTTTTTTTTTTTTTTTTTTTTTCTTCCCCACAAGAACACAAAACTGAAACTGTAAAGTCTGTGTACTGACTGAGAGATAAATCTTTATTTTTTATTTCCACTTGAAGTTACATTTCGTATATATATATATTAAAAGTTTACAAACTTAGTTTTTTTTTTTATTTTTCGTTATTAAAAAAAAAGATTGCCTTGATGGCATAATATTATATTATATTAAAAAAAAAAATCAGATGCTCATTGCTTGTAGAATAGTTTACGTCAGTATTGAAACTTTTAGCTGCCGTCTTAGCAAAGTTCGCACGAACATACGCCAAGCATGTATTTTTATATATTAATATTGCATTGTACACCTTCGACTAACAAGCCAAGGAGTTATAATCTATACATTAGATGCGTGTACCATTTATATTAACTACAAATGTTAGTATCAAAACTATTAATATAGTTTTAGTATTGCTAATTTTACTACACTTTTGTTATGTATATGTAGGGAAGTCATAGGGATTATAAATTCAGTTTGAGTAAAGGTTAAACAAAACAAAAAAAAGCATATATTTTATGATAAAGGGCCTTTAACTTATTATGGCCAAAGCACTGATATTATATATTTGCTGTAAAGAGAATTATAAGAGTTTTATTTTTTGGATATTAAACGTTAATAAAGACATGTTTCCATTAACTTATACTTGAGATAATTATTGCGTTTTGCATGATGGATTTCTGGGATATTTAAGGAATTTATTGGAGACATATGGTTACATAGTTAGTCTGGCTGAAAAAAGACAAAAGTCCATCCAGTTCAACCATTAAAAAAAAAAAAAAAAAAAAAAGGTATTTATTTTAGGTACTTGTATAGCACCATCAATTTACGCAGCACTTTACATATATATTGTATATTCACATCAGTCCCTAACCCTCAGGCAGTGTACAATCTAAGGTCCCTAACTCACATTCATACATACACATACCAGGGCCAATTTAGACAGGAGCCAATTCACCTACCAGCATGTCTTTGGGGTGTGGGAGGAAGCCGGAGTGCCCGGAGGAAACCCACGCAGGCACAGGGAGAGCATGCAAACTCCAGGCAGGTGGTGCCATGGTTGGGATTTGAACCGACGACCCTAGTACTGCCAGGCGGAAATGCTAACCATTTAGCCACTGTGCTGCCCCACAGTTGATCCAGAGGATGGCAAAAAAAAAAAACCAGCAAAGCACGATCCAATTTGCTCCTGCAGGGAAAAAAATTCCTTCCTGATCCCCCGAGAGGCAATCGGATATTCCCTGGATCAATGTTACCTATAAATGTTAGTATCCAGTTATATTCTGTGTATCTAAGAAAGAATCCAGGACTTTTTTTTTTTTTAATGCAATCCACTGAGCTGGCCAGGACCAACTCTTGAGGGACTCTAGTCTGCATTCCCACAGCTCTTACTGTGAAGAAACCTTTCCGTGTTTGGAGATTAAATTTCTTTTCTTCCAGACATAAACAAGACATGGGGGAAGATTTAATGAAACTGGTGCACAGAATCTGGTGCAGTTAACCAATCATCTTCCAGGTTTTATTGTCAAACCTTAAAGGATACGTTCACCTTTGGGGACATATATATATATATATATATATAGGAAGTGCAGCGCTAAAAGAGAGCGATATTATATACTCCAATAAAATATATTCTCGTCAGTATGCTCTCCAAAAGAAGTAACGTAATAAAATGTTAAAAATAATAAATGAATAGTGACAGTGTGTGATAAGTGAACTATTCCGGAGTTGATAGTGACTTTCCGATCCTGTGGTCTGGTGACAAATAGTGAAAATGCGCACTCGCCAAATGCAAATTTTCAATACGCCTGTGATAAACAGAGGTCCCCCTCAAGGGATGGGATGGACGAGCTGGGCCGTCTTAAAGGACTCTCCTTCCTCTGGGTATAGAGCGGCCAGACTGTTGTCTCCCTCTGGGAATGGACAGGGTACTGGGCAGCCTACATCAGGGTGTGCGTCATCCTTAAGGCGGTATCAAGCGTCACAGACTTCTGATGCTTGGGCTCCCTCGTTACAGACCCGCCTCACCAGATGCCAGAGCTGCTAACTGGAAGAGGACGATTTCTCGGCAAGATTTTGCCGAGGAAAATGTTATTTTTTTAACATTACGTTACTTCTTTTATCCATATGAATTGGAGAGCATACTGAATATAATATATATCTTTTAGCTCTGCACTACATATATATATATATAATGATGTTTAGTTTTTGGTGACCTTGCGTTCTATAGCTGCTATCATTTGAAGTGCTCACTAATTACATTTATCTTTATTACCTTTGGGGACATGTTACCCGTTTTTAGGGTGGAAAATGTAACGTTCTCATAGCTGCACCCCCACCCCCCGTCCCTCTGACCGTACGGGGAGAAGTCTCGCCGTCTTATTTGTCAAATTTGAAGACAGTTTGGGTGTGCGAGGCTCCGTCCACAGGGCCGCATCATTCATTAATGGACTTCTGTGAATGAATGAATGAACCTCAAGTCCCGACATCCTTAGATGTCCTCAGCTTGTAGTTTTCAATGAACTACCTCAGCACTGTGGAGCGCCATGGTAGTTCATTGAAGCTTCCTTTCGGAACATCTGCTTGACCATACATCCCGTACGGCAAGCAGATAGTCTGACAGGTCTGCAGGAGACCTGCACGGCATTAGAGATCTACTGATCACTGGTGCAATGCTTTCCAGGCTCCTGCAGACAAAAATAAATGCACATTTTTTTTTTTTTTTTTTAACCGGCAAAAAAAAAATGTGCATTTATTATTTTTGTCTAAAAGGTGAACTTTATCCTTTAATTCAACAAAGTTAGCAGTGGATTGGCTCCCATGCATAGCTGGACCATATTCGGTGTGCTCCCATTTTAGTGAATCTCCCCCATAGTCACAATGCTCTCAATAGCTAAGAAAAAATGGCAGTTTAAAGTGAAACTGCCATTTTTCTTATTTAGGTAAAGTACAGTATCTCATCTTATTGCCTACTTCAGATACAAACAGTAACTCAGTGCTTGAGGGACCAATCCCTATGTGACATTGCAGCCAGTTTGCTGCTCAGGCACTGTATGATGCATAGTGGGAGGAGGTCATATAGTCTCCCATGCCCCAAAGCACTGGGTATTTCCCTATGACAGCAAGTTTGGTGAAGCAAAGTAATTGTAGCAGAGGAGGTAGGCAACAAAGAGAACCTGTTACGTGCTTTAAGGGTTTGTTCGCACCATGTCCAGTGCCCTGCACTTTTCTGTACTGAGTAAATGTAGGTTACTGCATGGGCACTGTGTGCCTTGTTCACAGCCCGCAGCACATATTAAAGTGCAAATAATACATTCCACAATTTGGTTTTATTAAATGGGCCTCCCCAGGCGCTGTTATGTACTGCATACTAGCCATAATGTGCACTGCATATTCATACATTATGGCAGACTTGTCTATCAAATGATTCCCTCCGGTGCTGTACCTACTGGGCATGGGCACTTCCATCTTCTGGTCTACCTTGCGGGTTCTGTCTGATCAGCCATGATGATGTCACTGGTGTACCTGGGCGTCTCGTTATTATTATTATTATACAGGATTTATATAGCGCCAACGGTTTGCTCAGCGCTGTACATTATAGTGGGAGACAATACAAGAGGGATTTGAGGGCCCTGCGCCTTGGAGCTTACAATCTATATCATGGCACGCAGGTGCCGTTAATGTACGCTGAGCTGTGTATACGCAGCTCAGTATACATTAATGCTGATGGACAGAAGCATTTATGACAGACCAATAGGGTCTCTTTTCTCATAAAAACCCGGGCTGTTAGCGTGTTTTTGTGTTTTTTCTCTACTTCAACCACTTGCCGGCCACAGATAGCTGAATGACGGCTGCACTGCGGCCGGCCA